GTTTGCACACGGCCCTGTCCTGTTTTCAGCGCACATGCGTCTAGGTTTGCACACGGCTCAGCTCTCTATTCACTGCACACGTCCCTGCTGTGTTTTCAGTGGACACACATCTGGGTTTGTACATGGCTCTTCTCTGCTCTCAGTATACAGGGTCTGGGTTTGCATGTGGGCCTGCCGTGTTTTTAGTGGACATGCGTCTTGGTTTGCACACAGTCCTGCTGTTTTTAGTGGACATGGGTCTGGTTTGCACATGGCCCTGCTCTGCAGTCACTGGATATGGATCTGGATTTGCACACGGTCCTGTGTAGCCTCAGAGAACTTAGCCAGAAGACTTCTCTTTTAGGAATAGGTGGTTCAATCAAATTATCTTAACTCACTGGTTTTGGGAAAAATACTTTTGTTAAACATCAAAACTGAGCTGAAATCCTCTTAAGGAAAATGAAAGCAATTGTTATCATAATTCTACAACTGAAATTCTTCCTGTCCCCACGCACTCACTACAGAAAGACCATGTACCTCTCAATCATTAGTAAGCATCTGCTGAGCACCTCTGAGCACAGGGCGCTGTGCTGGATTCTGGAGACACCAAAGGCACACTGAAGCTCTGTCCCTATGAATTCACTATACGACCTGACACCCTTCCAGACTTGCATGTTCAAGAACCCCAAGACAGAGGGAGCAGCCGGCGTCCACTGACACTTTAAATATTGGTGAACGCATCTATTACAAAGCCCTAATCCATCAGGACTTCTTTTGTACATAGCAATTTCACCTCCATCACTTTTTTGTATCACATTTTCACAGTGATGGCCCACGGGTCATCTCTAATCATACAGCGGGCGTCACCTTCCATACCAGATTCCTTTGTCTTTCTGACTCAGTTTTCTGATTATACCACGGCTCATCTCGAAATGGTTCACTCTGCCACACGTATTTCAGGACGGTGTTTATCAGTGCTTTACTGATGAGGATGCACAGGTACACGATGAGAAAGACATTCATGGATCTGAAATAAAAGCACAGCAACGGCTGCTTGGTTATCACTCTGGGAAGAAATAATGAGCTCTACCTACACTTCCTTACACGTGCCAAGATAAACCGCTGAGGACAGAACATGAATAGCACCGGGGTGCATTCTGAAGGAAGTGCCCAACGTGACCCAGTGAAAATGAACACGCAGGCCCATCTGAGCCTGCCGCACTCCATGGGCACTGGTGGGCACTGGCACGCACCTCCTGCGGCCACGGAAAAGAGAGCCAGGTGAAGGGAGAGTTGCGTAAGCAGGAGAGAAAGCTGCACACAGCCATGTGTGTTTCTGTATGGTCCAGAATTCTATCATTTTACAGAACATCCAGAAATCAATTCCTTCTACCATTAAACATCAACAAACGAGTTCAAAATGTAGTGATTACCAACCACGAAGGAAGGAAGGAAGGAAGGAAGGCAGGGAGGGAGGGAGGGGGAAGTGGCTAAAAGGAAATGCATTCGGTATACGAAAAATGCTGATCCTCAACCAAGATCTTGGCAGACTGTGTGAAGGTTTTATTTTCCAATATCTGTCTCTAAAACCTATGTGCATATGTAGACGTCTGGAAACAAAACATTCTTGCTTATTAAAAGCCAATCTCCATCTCCATATTCGATGCAATCATAGAGACTTGGGGATCGCATTCCTGATCGACTTGTGAACAGCAGGCAGGATACCCCCCACCAGCCTCCTGAACAGTCAGTGAACAGCACAAAGCTCTCCACTGAACAGTTTGGTAACTACTCGGTTGTCCCCTCAAGCCAGGGTCCACTCTACCAGGGGCAGAGAAAACAACGTTCCAGGCCACGTTTTCTGACTAATTCAATGTCATCAGGGCATATTAGCATAGGATTTTACTGTTGAATGAAGACTCAGTTCTCTCTAATGCTTTCCTTTCTAAAACCATATCAGAACATATGTGGTTTCCACCAAATCCCAGAGTTAAAAGTGACCCCATTTTGACATTTTCCTGAAATGGTCAGAGGAGCTGCTGGGCATCTGCAACCGACCTCAGAACCAGAACCCAGGGCCACCCATGAGAGGCTGCTCCGTTCCCTGGGCATCGAGCACTGCACGCAAGGGTGTGGACGCAGGTCCCCAGCACCTCGCTGCACAACAAGAAAGTCGATCTGAACAGTCCGTTCCAGTTACCGAGATACTGTGTGTCCAGCTGCTGTGAATGAATTACTGAGGCAAGAAGAAGCTATTTTCATGTTCACAGTGGTTAACGACAGTTTTAAATCACAGATTTTTGCACACTTCAAATGATGGCGTAGGAGCCTTACTTTTCTACAGCAGATCGTTTCTGGGACTTTGACTGATAATTTAGAGCCATCTTGGTTTCCATGCCCGTGTAGATAGCAACACCTACAAAGCAGAACAGTAAACGTGGTGACAGTGATGCAAACACACCCTGCCTTTACTCAGTAACTCACACACAATGATGTGTGTGATGATAATTCTCGGGTAAAACAAACAGTATTTTTAATTTCACTAGGCAGGCTAGCTGTTTATAAACAGTCACAAAATGGGGTTCTTTAGACTAAAGACTTTTCTCCCTGCATAGAGAGAAATCTGTACTTTATTTTTTTTTTATTTCAGATTTTAATATATTGGTTTTTCTGACAGGGCACACGTTCTTTAGACTAAAGACTTTTCTCCCTGCATAGAGAGAAATCTGTACTTTATTTTTTTTTTTGTTTCAGATTTTAATATATTGGTTTTTCTGACAGGGCACATACTTGCATATTTTTAAAAGTTGTCTCATTTAATTAAAACATAGGAAATTACCCACTAGAAATGGGAGATACTAGTGAATAAATACAGACAGTAGAAGAAACTTCCTGTGGAACTACATTTGATGAATTCTCCCCTGGATACAACTTTATGCTTCTGAGTCAAAACCACAGGGAGTTAACATGCAGCCATCGTGAGTCACTGCTTCACGGACTACGATGTCACGCTTTACAGATGCCATTACCTACCAATACTAATTTTCTTAGTGAGGCAAAATTGCTGCTGCCATAAAATCTGCAGTTCCTCAAAGCACAAAGAAATGCTCTCAGGGACCACTANTGCTGCTGCCATAAAATCTGCAGTTCCTCAAAGCACAAAGAAATGCTCTCAGGGACCACTATGGTTTTTAACTCTGCTTAATGTATCCTTAATTTTAGAAGCGATTATAAATAATTCACTAATTAAAATATTTACCAAAGATTTTCTCTGTGTTCTTCAGTTTGGCTCCTCTAAGAAGCAAGTTTTCTGATCCTAATGGCCTGCGGAGACAAGGGTGATCAGAAACAGATCAACACAGGAACAGAGGCAGGTGAGACACACAGGATGGAAATCAGTCTGTCTGCTGAAAGATTGCATTTTGAGAGGAAATGGCTTAAATGTGGATTTGCTTATACTCAGATGATTGAAGTGTGCCCAGGTCCATGGAGAAGTGTGTGGTCTCTGTCTGTGGGAGGATGAAAACGTGGCTCTGCTGGAATCATTCTTCACAGACTTCTAGTGTCACTGGAGACTGGAGCAACTCACCGTGAGCCCTGGAGCAGAGTGACAGCATTGCAGGGTCCCCAGCCCCACCCCCGGGTTTTAACTCTGCTTAATGTATCCTTAATTTTAGAAGTGATTATAAATAATTCACTAATTAAAATATTTACCAAAGATTTTCTCTGTGTTCTTCAGTTTGGCTCCTCTAAGAAGCAAGTTTTCTGATCCTAATGGCCTGCAGAGACAAGGGTGATCAGAAACAGATCAACACAGGAACAGAGGCAGGTGAGACACACAGGATGGAAATCAGTCTGTCTGCTGAAAGATTGCATTTTGAAAGGAAATGGCTTAAATGTGGATTTGCTTATACTCAGATGATTGAAGTGTGCCCAGGTCCATGCAGAAGTGTGTGGTCTCTGTCTGTGGGAGGATGAAAACGTGGCTCTGCTGGAATCATTCTTCACAGACTTCTAGTGTCACTGGAGACTTGAGCAACTCACCGTGAGCCCTGGAGCAGAGTGACAGCATTGCAGGGTCCCCAGCCCCACCCCAGACCACCAAATCAGAAACCCTGGCAGGGCCCAGCAACCCCTCCTAACAAGCCTCAGGGTGAGAACGGCTATGCTAGAGGATCTCAGAATGTTCTGGAAGAGCTCATGAGCAGTATGTGTGTTTCATTTGACTTTCAGTTGTTTCTAGCACATCCCCAGGGAGACTCAGAGTCTCCTGTGATGTGCTCATGTTTTTAAGGACGAAGGCCAGGATACTTCACATGGTATTTATGGACACTGGTAGCCAAGCCTCCACAGATTCTATGTATGGCTACTCTGGGAGGAAACAAGCAACGACCAAAGCCTTTTACAGTCGTTCAAGAGCAAGCACTGCTGTAGGCACTCAACACACTGACAGCAGCGGGTGCAGCTCTCTGCCACTAGGGCTCTACATTCTAGAGGTTCCCTTGATGGAAAAACAATTCCTTCTCATTCCCTAAGCAGCAAAGGAGAAACAAGCGTGAGAATTCACGGTTACACATTTTGGTACTGACAACCTCCTAAGATTTCTCTGGGAGGTGAGAGGGTGGGAGTTGCAAACACCTGCTGAAGTCTGCTTTTAATTTATCTGTGCGTTTAACGTACTCTCACTGTGGGAAGTGAGAACCTACTGAGTATTATAAGCTTAAAATGTGTTCATTCTATGTGGCCGATTCAGCTTGGAGCTGCAGCCTGAGGACAAGGGAGCATGGAGTGTGCCCCAGGAGGAGCAGCACCGGACGCACGAGGTGGGTGTCCCCGGCTGCCCGTCACCTCAGGGCCGCGGCCTCGGCCTGACATTAAAGATGGGCCCCCTGGGCTGCATGTGCGTCGTCAGGCCACATTATTGAGACTGTCAGCTTCTGCTGGCAACACACGTATAATAATTCATGTAGTAAGTGTTTATGAAGACAAATGGCCCTTTTAAGAAGGGTCTCCAGGAAGTCTAAAGATGATTTACTTAAAAAAAGAGCTTTGCTTCTATTTTAGACCGTAGGAAGAAGCACTACCACGCAGGATGGATCGAGAATTCTGCAGTGTAATTTATAACTGTCCACACCACAAATCTATAAACATCTTACAAAACCCAAAGCCTAAAGCCTACTGAATTGTATAAACATTAAAGAACAAGATGAGAGTTAGTGTCAAAATGCAAAACATGTTTTTATCTTTCCAATCTTCTCAGCAATAAACTTTGTTAAACATAAAGCATGAAAAGCCTGTGAGGTGTACTATTTCGTACACACCCCACAGGCAGTTTGAATACACCTAAATCTGTTTACTCATTCAAACGCAAACTAATTCTTGCAGTACAGAAATACAGGTTATTTCTCCTAAATAACTAGAAATTTACCTTTGGAATAATATGCATTTAGGAATACTGAGGCACTGTCTCCATAAATTCTGAAAAGCACCTACTCCCTGCTGATGCATAATGAGACAAAAGCACACTAAGCACTGCACACATTGTTTTCTCAAAAGAGCAACTCCAGGCGCCTTCCAAGGCGTCCCCAGGGACTTATATTTCGGTAACTGTTTACTTTGCAGTAATTTCCCATTGGGTTTGCTTCTACTTCTGGGCAAATGTTTTCTTTAATACCTAATGCAGTAACAGGATATCACCGATTTGGGGACTGCTTAAATGGGGAGAAAAAATCATTTCTCTAACAAGTGGAGTTTATGGAAAAGGAACAACTTCAAAACCTACTGAAACAGTAACAGGATATCACCGATTTGGGGACTGCTTAAATGGGGAGAAAAATCATTTCTCTAACAAGTGGAGTTTATGGAAAAGGAACAACTTCAAAACCTACTGAAAGCCAATTTCCTAAACTGCAAAATCCAAGCACCTCATCAGAAACAACGGCTAGATCTTAAAACAATGTCAAGTGAAACATGGCCACGCCTGGGAGGCAGACGCGGCTCACAGACTGAGACCTGCAGCGGGCAGCACGGCCGAGTCAGCGCCTGTCCCTGACAGCAGCTGGTTTCAGGTCTGGCTGTCTCAGGGCCACAGAGTGAGGTTTCTGGTGGTTGCGCTCTGCTTGTACGGTGTGTGAGCACCACTGAGACAGCAACACCAAACTAGGGGAGCACCCCGCCTGTCGCTGCCCAGCACAGCCTCTTCACCTGGCAATGGCTTCTGCCTTCCCAGGCGGACATGAGCCTGAGAGAGGCCCTGAGTCAAAAATGTGTCCCAGTAATGACTACAAGCAGATTAATATATTCCAGTAAAACAGCCTCCAAATTAGAAGCCTTTCCACTTCAGAGCTGAGGACACATGAGTGCACGAATCACGAGAGGGCAGTCCTCCTGTAGGGAAGCTGCACCCTTCCCTCCGTCTCGGGATCGTTATAGGGGATCCTGACACTTCCCAGCCTGGGGGACGACCTCTTGGCAGAGGCTTGTGAGAGAACGTTTTTCACGGGTATCGTTGACTTGTTAGCACACATGGATGTGTGTGTGCCCAAGAGAAATCAGGAACGAGCAGGACCTGGCCCTTTTGTAAAGACACATCTATTTTCAAAATGAAACCTCTCATCAACAGAAAATGAACTTCAGGTGATGCAATAACAGGTGAAAACGGCCACAGCGTTTACAAGAGGCACTCACCTCACCACAGGGTCGTTCAGGTCACTGTAGACATTTATGCGACCCACAAACCTGGCAACAGAAAAGTCGAGTTACTGCGTGCAGCGCCTGCAGCCCACCGTCCCTGCCCCTCCTGTCTCTGAAGAGTCCTTTCCTCTGAAGCACACTCAGCGTGTGGCTACCTGGCTGTGTCCCGCCTCTTTCTTGATTTACTCTGTTCTTACACATCCATGGCTTATGTAACTTTGCTCAACCCACAATTTATAAATTACTTCCTCAATATGAAGAAGACTTAGTTTTTCTTCAATAAATGTAGTTCCACTAAGCCACTTCAAATACCTATATAAAAAGCTACAGATCCGAATGTTGCTAGCCTATGAAATTATGTAAGTAACATACTTTTGACTCGGCCTTAATTTTTAAGCAGTGATTTACGCTGCCTTTCCAGACAGCCACGTCGTTAGTCTGTCAGAGGTGAGAAAGCAGGAACGCTGTCCAGGGCACGAAGGCTACTCAGGAGAAACCCACAGACCCCACTAACCTGTAGGGGTCGGGCTGGGGCTGCTCACATTCGATGGTAGCGTGGAGCCCGTCAATGTCTTCCTCCGTGTGAAAGCCCTTTGTGTCTTGGACTGCATAATGAGTCTACAAATTGAGGAGAAATGGGAACTCACAACCAGAATGATCCACACAGACCTACAGCTGATGCTTCCAACCAGAGGGCACAATCAGGGCTTGACTTTTTGTGCAGAAGAACAAGCCCAGCTGCAAAGTCTGGCTGAGCACGTGAAAGCAGATGTGTAACAAATGAGTCTGTGCACGTGAAACGTCACAGAAAGGTAAGGTCCCACTGCTGTGCCTGCATCTATCAGGTGTAGAACATTCTAACTCTTCCATTCTTACCCAGCACCCTCACCTTAAGACGCAAATAGCAATGCTGGGGATTCTTCTTCAAAATCCAACTCCTTACTCATCTGTCTCAGCGGTAGCTATGAATTAGGAAACGAATCCAGGAGCTAAAATGTTCCTTTTCTTTTACACAATGCCCACTGCTTACAGGGAACTGTCAGGGACTCAAACTTCCCTGCCCGTCACCGTTGGGGTAGCACATGCTCACCATGTAACTGTTCATAGGGCCTGGACTAGCGGGCTCCTCAACCTTAGTGTGCCCAGAATCGCCTGGAGGGCTCGGCGAGCCCCTGATTCCTCCGCCCCAGCTCAGAGTTTCTGACACAGCAGGTCAGGGGTGGGGCCCGGGAACTGCTTTTGTATCGTGATCCCTGGTGATACAGATGTTGGTGGCCCGGGAGCACATTCTGAGACCTGCTGGCCCAGAGACCATCGGTGAGAGTGGACGGGTGGGCTGGGGGCTGCACGTGCTCTGCTGGGAGGAGGCCGGGGAGGAGGGCTCGCGAGCGAGGGTCTGGTGAGGAGGCAGTGACTGCTCTGCGTCTCCTCTATGTTTCTTCTAATAATCAAGTGTTGGACGGACGGAATGTGCAGTCAGAAGACACAGGAGCTCCGACGGCTGCATCACCACCATGACTGCTTAGAGCACTGGGGGCGCATGCTGTGTGTCCAGCACTGTGGGAAGTTTTCTAATTATATGCTTACAAGAGCTCCTGAAAGACAGGTTTTTCCCCATTTTATAGACGTGGAAAGTCCAGAGAGGTTAAAAAGCCTGTCCACGGTCACGTGGGCACTGCAGGGCCTCAACAGAGGGCACCAGACACTTCTCAGGCCCCTGCTCTGCTTTGAAGGAAAGGGCTCAACCTAATTCCAGTCCCTGAGCCAAACCAAGTGCACAAACATGACGTCAGAGAACACGAATTACAACGCAAAGTGCAAATCCACAAAAGGTGGAGGAAAGAGCCATGCTAACACCTCCCAGCTCTGGCGCAGAAAAACGCCATGACGCTCCATCTCGAACAGAGCGATACCCATGGAGGCCACAGCGTCTGCTCACCAGTGGGGCTGGGACGTGTCTGAGCCTGACCAGATACGCTCCTCCCAGAGGACGGGGTCCATGCGGCAGGCCACTGTCCACGGAGGGTGTGGAGGCTCACAAGGCCTCAGGGCAGACAGGGACCCACAGCCACTTACATTAAACACCCGAATCAGCCAGGGATCCCACTCCCCACAAGTACGGCTGCTCACATCTGCAGTGGCAGGGTGTTAATTCTCTTGGGATGTGTTACTTAGGAAGTGTGGAAGTAAATAATGAAAAAATCCACAGGGCTTCATGCAATGGTATCATGAATTATCCATGGAATACTGGCATATCCTCTGATGATTTTATAAAGAAAATTTCTCTGTCCCATACTGGAAATTGCCAGTGTTCAAGCTACTACTCAAGCACCGTTCTGGATCTGCACTTCTGTAACCTGGTGACTCAGAAATGGCTGAATCCACCGAGTGATGCTCACTTTCATGAACTCCTTGGAAACTTACAGATTTTTAGTAAAAACTATAAAATAGTGTTACTTTTTATGATTAATTAAAATTTTGTAGAATCAACTGTCAGTGCAGAATTCCATACTGAGGGCAAGAAATTAATTTCAGAACCTCCTTTTTACGATATTTTAACAAAAAGACATGCACTGACAAAACGGTCAAGCACATGTAGAATTGTGTGACTTTTCACATAATTCTAGGCTAGTAAAGACACTAATTTTGACTAGTGAAATGAAAGCCTTTAGAATTCCAACCATCTACTCATTAAATGACACGGGCTAACACTGTGGTTACTTCTGTTAACCTGACATGGGCCGTGATGGATGCTGAGGGTGGCAAGGACAAAGTGGGGACAGGGACAAGCAACAGTGAGGACAGAGCTCGGCCGGCTCTACCCCCAGCTTCCACTGTAGCCACCGAAACACCGAATTTTCATGCAAGAGGTGGTTTCTGTGGCCACACGGCACAGCCTGCATGGGAACCCATATCGAAGCACGTTACTTTATGGCTCGATTCTCCGTCTAAGCTGGCAGTGGTCACGTGGCACGTCCCATCTCCCCGGTTGCTGGAAAGGAAGATCAAGTCACAGGGAAATGTCTCGTTCTCCTTCACCATGACGATGTCCCCAACCTGCAGGAAAGAGCAGAAAGAAAGCCCGACTGGACTGATGGCCCCGCGTCGGGTTGCTTTTTCCGAGGGTCGGTCCACACTCAGACACACCACAGTGCTCATCTACAGCAGGACGTGGTGCCGGTGCACCGCTAGGAAAACATGCTTCCCAGACATTCTGCTGGAGCCCAGGCAAGTCAGTTGGGTTTCCATGCAGATCAGAACCACAGTGTGTCGTGGTCTCTGCGGTGAAAGCAAAGGCAGACGCCCACCGCGAGACCACCTCTGCTCAGACCAAGCAGGACACGCTCAAGTGCCCTGCTGAAGCGCTGAGCAGGAGGGCTCCCGCGGGAAGGCTGTGTCCCCATCGAGGTGTGCACAGACCAGGAACCGAGCTCTAAGAGCTTCCGGTTACCACGCGTGACTGAGAATGAAGCAGAGGTGTGGCGACATTTCAAAACTGAAGTGAAAGTGGATCATGGGTGCTTGTGACGTGGGCCTCTCT